ATTTGGCCTCCTTTACAGATGTGGCGCTGTGGGTTAATGTGTTGAACTGCAAGGTGGGTTTGAACAGCAAGGTTGGCAGTTCAAGCTCACGAGCCGCTCCTCAGAAACCCTATACCAGGGTCTCTATGAGTCAGAGATGACTCGACAGCACTTAACAACAACACAGATTATTTATTGCAACAGTTCTACTTTTGTAGACAACTAGCTGAATGTCTTGGTTTCTGCATCTGTAATAGGGAAGGAACAGGGCTGTCTGGGCCCACTGTCTCCCAACCCCTTTCTGGATTCTACATGGATCCAATCTTCATTCTCTATTCTCTCCAGCACATTCCTTAGAATTTGCAGTGATGACGAATCTTGATGCTCTCCCAGGCAACTTTCATAATAGAAGTTATTAGTGTTATTCAGCTTAAGTTTATTAGAATTTGCATTTTAAATTTCTCGCTTTTAACAGACTGTTAAGATTGCCACAACTTTACCAACTTACTTGCAAGTGCCAAAGCCTGCCAATTAACTCAGATGGTCATAGCAGCAACTGTTTCCCATCGGAAAGGCTGAATCGCGTAGGCGTTTGCACCTTTGCAGGCCAAGTGATTCACCAGCCAAGTTACTTTGCATATTGGGATAAGGAGCATAGGATATTAGACTTCCTTTCAGTTCTTCTCCTTCTGCTGAGTTAGATGTGGATTTTCTAATATCAACTTCTTTTATTCCTTTCAAAATCATACATACTTGCAAGAAACTCAAACTGTATGTACTTATGTAATGTGATACAGAAAATGAATAGACCTTTGTAATTCCCCAGCCTAAAAAGCCACTCGTAACAGTTTGGTCAACATTTCACCAGATACTGTTTTCAGTGCTTATATGGACGTCTTTTCTCTTTCTTGAACAAAAAGAGATCGTGTTTACATACAGTCCTTTGAAGCTTGCTTTTTTTTCCCCCCCTAGCAATGTGTCTTGGAGATTTTTCTATTTTACGTATTATTTTTTTTAAGAGTCCCCTGGGTGGTACAAATGATGTAGGCATTCAACTGCAAAAGGTTAAAGGTTCGAGTCCACCCAGAGGTCCCTCAGAGGAAAGGCCTGGCAATTTACTTCCCAAAAACTCTGGCCTTGAAAACCCTGTGGAATATAGTTCTATTCCGTCACACATGGGTAGGGCCACACCAGTCAGACTTGACTGCTCCTGGGTTCCTTATTTTTCCAGCAGCGATGGATTTCCATGGCATAATTACAGCAGAAGTGATTTGACAAGTCCCCTCCAGACTTCCTTTTTGCACCTCCCAAAGGGGACCATGAAATAGTGAGCTGGATGCAACAAGGCTCTTGGAAGATGATCCCAGATAGTACTTATAAGGGAGAAGAGGAGGGAGGCAGAATAAGCAAGGGTATGCCAATGAGCAGGTAGGCATTATGGGAAATGGAGGCCCAGTCCAGCAGGGCTCCCTGAGAAACTATGTGCAACATGACTTAGAACTGCCCCACTCAATGGCAAGAAAGCCGGGAACCATTCACGGTCTCCCATCACTTACTGGCTGAGAGTTGTACTGGGGGTATCGCACCCCCAGATGTGAAGGGACCTGCCCAGGGGATGCTTCAGGTAGAACCTGGTCTGGCTGTACAAGAACCATCCACAGAAACTGCAGATAGACTTCAAGGAGGAGAGGGTACCAACAGCCTCAGCCATACCTCCTCGTGGACACTGTTGTTCTTTCCAGTTTTCCATTCCTACTCTGGTAGCATAATGGATTAAGAGCTGGGCTGCTAACCACAGGTCAGTAGTTTGAATCTGTCAGTCACTCCACAAGCGAAAAATGAGGCTTTCTGCTCCCGTAAAGATTTACAGCCTTGAAAACCCTACACAGGGTCATTGTGAGTCAGAACCAACTCTGTGATACACAACCACCACCACCACCACAGTGTTACAGAGCAAGCATGCCAAACTTTCTGGGTAAGGCCAAATTGTAAATATTTGAGAGTCTGCAGGCTACTCAACTCTGCCCTTATGGCAAGAAAGCAACCATCAACAATCTGTACACAAATGGGCGTAGCTGTGTTCCAATAAAACTTTACTTGTAAATAACACGTGGTGGGCCATGTTCAGCCTACAGTTCATAGTTTGCCAGCCCCTGCTATAGAGAATATTTTTGTAGGTGTATTCTTTATCTATTTGTGCAGATATTTCTATGGGGAAAATTTCTAGAAGTGTAATTACTGAGTCACTAGGTCAGAGCCTTTTTATTTTGAATATATACCTGAAACACCCCAAAACGGAACCAACTTGCCCTCCTAGGAGTGTTTGAGATTTCTGCACCAGTTGACGAGAGATGTTTCTGCACGATCATTCTTGAGCTTTGGAGAAGCAAAGATGACAAGTTTTTGTTTAAATAGAGTGAAACCAAATGGCACCTGAGAAAGTCTCACAATCGTACCTTGTTTGAGATTCTAGATCAACAGGGAAGGGGACTCTGGTAACTTGTTCTTGTTTGGTTAAATCATTGACCACTAAACACAATCTCCAAAATTTCCTTCATAAAACAAAGATTATATTCCTTTTAAAGAGGTTTTCATTTTTAAAGGTCCACCTCTGCTTAGCTACAACACAAAAGGTTAGAGGTTCGAGTCTACCCAGAGGCACCTCAGAAGAAATGCCTGGCAATCTGCTTCTGAAAAGCCAGCCACTGAAACCCCTGTGGAGCACAGTTCTGCTCTGACCCATGGGAGTTGTCATGAGTCTAAGTCTACTTGACACCGTTGTTGTTTACCGATGTGCATGTACTGAGCGCTTCACCAAATGTACAATCAATATGCATAGTTCACATTTTGTCCACAAAGAGCTGACAGGTACAGGATGCTATTGATGATGGATGTTGTTGTTGAGTGTTGTTGAGTCGGTTCTGACCCATAGAGACCCTGTATAGGGTTTCCGAGGAGTGGCTGGTAAGCTTGAACCACTGACCTTGTGGTTCAGTTCAGTCATTAACCCATAGTGCCACACTAAGACCCCCCTGTATTCAGTTATTGTTGTTGTTGTTAAGTGCCATCGAGTCAGTTCTGATCCATAGTGAACCTGTATAGGGTTTCCAAGGAGCAACCGGTGAACTTGAACTGCCACTCTTGCCGTCCAGTGCATTAACCCACAGCACCGCACCAGGACTCCATGATGGTGGTATAGAGGTCCACGTATCATAATGCACACTAGGTCTTTTTTGGTGTTTATGGGGTTTTAGTTTTTCTAATTATCTTTTTTTCTCCCCCCATTTTTATCATGTAGAATTTTGGTCGTGGACCCCACAGGGGAGGAAAGAGACCCTTAGCATTCAAGCTCTGTGTTTAGCTGCATATATTAGCTGGTTTATTTGCTAGCCAAATCCCTCTTGGGATCAAGCCTGCCTTTGCTGGGCTCAGGCTGACTGAATCTGTGATATTTCCCTTCCTGTAGCCCTTCATTTACATCACAGACCACACAACCTGCCACTCCTGCCCTACCCACACACAGATAAAGAATCCGGAGGAACTTCGTCTTGAAGATGAGTAAAGCTAACCATCTTATTTGTCTTGAAAAGCACAAATTCAGGTTGTGTTGGAATTAATAGGGAAGCCTTCCAAAGACAAATGCATCACAACAGGGAGTGGAAGCCATCCCTATAGCCCCATCCCTGGGAAAACCTGCTTCTTGTATGTGAAACACAGGGTCTCTTTTGTAAAAAGGTCGACAGAAATGTAGGGTGAAAATTGTCATTGTTGTTGTTAAGTGTCGCTGAGTCAGTTCCGACCCTTAGAACCCTGCATAGGGTTTCTAAGAAGCGGCTGGTGAGCTTGAACCTCCAGCTTTGTGATTCAAACCGACTTTGCAGTCCAGTGTGTTAGTCCACAGCTCCACACCAGGACTCCAGAGTGGAAGTAGCAGGCTCAGTAACATGTATTGAGCCCTTACCATGTGTGGGAGCCTCATACATGTCCTCCCATTGACACCTCACAGTGACCTGTGGGGTGAGGTATTATGAAGAGTCCCAATCTAACCAACGAGGGAAGAAAAGTTACCTTGTGGGCCACAAATGATAGAGCCAGGGTTCACAGCTATGCCCCCACCCTCCACCGGGGGAGAGTTAGCAGAGTCTGAGGACATTTTTGGTTATCACGACTGGGGCAGGACAGCATGCTGCTGGTCCATAGAACAGCCCCCCACCACAAAGAATTCTCCAGCCCCAAATGTCAACAGTGTCCTGGTTGAGACACCCTGGAATACAGTGATGGCATGCTATGGTCTTCCATTACAATTATCCATGTGTTCTATAGGCACCACAGGAGTATGCTGGCTCAATGGTAGAATTCTCACCTTCCATGCCAGTGGCCAACGTTCCATTCCCAGCCAGTGCACCTCATGTGCAACTATCACCTCGATTGCTGCCTGTGGAGGCTTGTGTGTTGCTATGAAACTGAACAGGTTTCAGTGAAGCTGCCAAACTCCGACTAGGAAGAAAAGCCTGGTTTTATTGGATAAACCAGCCAATGAAAACTGTCTGGACCATAATGGTGTGATTTGTAAGCCATCATGGGGGTGACTCATGACAGGCAGCCTTTCATTCTCCAAGCTGCACTGAAGGCATTCGCCAAACTCAAGGTTCTGAGTGGGGGATCTGACTCTGCGGCAGATCCTAACATCGTAAGCTCTGGTGGGGCACACGTTTAAAGAAGCATGCTGTAGGTGGTACAGATGTCTGTCTGCCAAAGGAACAGCCGGACCACAGGCTGTAAGGCAGAAACGTGCCTCGTGTGTGTGAGCATGAAAGTCAGTGTGTGGTGTGGAGAGTCTCATGGGGAAAGAGAAGGACAAATCCAGGGAACTCTCATCGTTAAAAGACACAAAATGCCCTCAACGTGATGCCTCGCATGTGAAGTTGAGGAACACGTAGACTAACGGCCTCTGTCTTGTCCCTGCTCCCCTGTTCTGTCCCCTTCCTCCCTCTGCCCCCTCCATGTCCATCCTGCCCCAGTGTTCGGCCACAACATGAAGAGCAGCAACGACTTCATCGGGAGGATTGTCATCGGCCAGTACTCGTCAGGTCCCTCCGAATCCAACCACTGGCGACGGATGCTGAGCACCCACCGCACAGCCGTGGAGCAGTGGCATAGCCTGAGATCCCGAGCAGAGTGTGACCGCGTGTCCCCTGCCTCACTAGAGGTGACCTGAAGGCCGCAGGGAAGGCAGCTTCCACTTGTAAAAAAAACATGTGTCACATACCTATCACATCAACACAAACGCACACACACACAAATCTACACACACCACATCCTCTCAGCACGTGTGATCACATCATGGCCACCATCAATGAGGCCTGAGAAGTTTCCAGAAACCCCATCCATACGTCACAAGCTAAGTGGGACTTATTAGCAGTACCTACGTTTGTTGACATCATTTAACATCTGCCCCAGAACGCACTTTCAACCCTCAGGCCTGGGAAAAGGCTCCCAAGAGGTGCCACACTCCATCAAGACGAATTTCCCAAGAGTTTGGCCAGTCGGTGGCAGACCTGAACCCCACCGGAAACCTCTGAGCAGGCTGCTGTTTCCTGGGGTTCATTAAACCTGATACTTTCCCCTAAAAGGTGTAAGTATCTCTGTCTTCTCCTTAGTGAACGTGATCAATAGATTAGATTATTTGAAGAAACCAAATGGCAACAAAAACTACCCCATTTAAGAAAATGCTCCTGGCTTGTCCTTGTCCTTAGCTTATCTGGGGGACTCCCTGTGGGGATGTATGTGTACTTTCTTATGCGTGTGCCCTCACAGGTGAACATGTGTGTCTTCAGTGAGCAAGGCAGTGGGCTGGGACCCCAGCGCTGCCCTTCGCTCCCCCCCACCCCCATGCAGTGAGATTGCACCCAGCGACCTCCCCTCCTCCGTCAGAGACCACCCCCCTTTACTAATAGTACCGTGCGTGTCTGTCAAGTCAGTAGAATGTGATACAGCAACAATACCGTTTCTTGGCTGAATCATAGTGACTGTGACCCCCAGAAGACCTACAGAGGACTGTTGCCATGGGTTCAAACGGCCACCCCACCCCCTCCAAGAGAATCCCTTCGCTTCACGTGCTCCAAACCAACGTCGTCAATCTTGTGCTAAGGAATTAGTTTAGCTAGGGTAGAGCCCTTTCTGTTGGATGCCTCTGTGTCTTTTTCCACAGCATATTGTCTGCTATGATGGGGAGTTATTTATTAAAATTAAAGATTGTTTATTTGTGCCACACATTCCAAGTTACCATTTTCTTCATAAAACAGAGTACAGATGATCGACGGGTGTTCTCAATTCCTACAGACGTGCAACAGTCCATCCCGACCTGTGGTATTCAGGCTCACAGATTTTGTGGGTCAGGAGTTCAGACCAGATGCAGTGAGGATGGCTTACCTGCTTCCTGACACAAGTGTATTGTTCACAAATATATGCCCACATATATAAAGAGCATAGTGTGCTTAGGAAAATACGGGCAAGGGTGTTGACGCACTTGGCAAAAAAGATCCAGTCTGTGTTATGTATATAAAATATATGACAGCCCCTCACCTGGAAGACTTGAGAACTAGAGGGTTCAGTCACACATCTGGTGGTTGATGCTGCTGGACACCTGAGGGCTCCTCTCTCCATGTGGACTCTCCATGTAGTCTCCACGTGTGGTCTCCCTATGGAGTCTCCCTGTGTGGACTCTCCGTGTGGTCTCTCCTTGTGGTCTCCCCATGTGGACTCTCCATGTGAACTCTCCATGTGGATCTCTATGTGATCTTTTCATGTGGTCACTCTGTGTGGACTCTCCATGTGGTCTCTCCGTGTCATCTCTGTGTGGTCTCTCCAGGTGGTCTCCCCATTTGGGTCTCTATGTGGTCTCTCTGTGTGATCTTTCCGTGTGGTCTCCTTGTGGACTAGTTTAGGCTTCCTTATCACATGGTGGCAAAGTCCAAAGGTAAGCAGGAGACAGCCAGGCAGAAGCTGGAACCTGTTTATGACCTAGCCCCAGAAGTAGTCCTGATTGATTAATGGTTAAGCATTTGGCTACTAACCAGAGATTGATGGTTTGAACACACCACTGGAGAAAGACATGGTAAAGGTTTGTTATTGTTTGTTGTTGTGAAGTGCTTTGAAAGCCCTGTGTTATTGTTGGTAGGTGTCGTTGAGTCAGTTCCAACTCCTAGCAACCCTGCTTAGGGTTTTCGAGGAGTGGCTAGTGGGTTTGTACCACTAACATTGCTATTCAAACCAACCTTGAGGTTGAGTTATTATCCTAAGGCGCCTCACCAGGGCTCTTGGAACCCCTTGGGGCAGTTTTGTCACATGGTCATAATAAATCAGAATCAATCCAGCAGCAACTCAAGTTGCCTGGTGTCACCCTACCAACCTCTTGCTTGCCTGGTGTCACCCTACCATCCTCTTGGTCTGGACAGTTACAAGCCCCTGCCCAGATTAAAGGAGGGAGGCACACCAGTCCCACTATAAGAAGAACAGGTGGGATGCGTGAGAGAGGTGTTCGAATAGGTTCTGCTCATAAACCAACTCATGTTGAGTAAGTGGCAGCCCCACCAGAACGCCTCAGCAAACTTGTAGCTGGTGCCTGAGTTCTTGGGCAGACATGTTCATATGGAGAACTGTGCACCTCAATTTGTAAGCTCTTACCTTGCTCCAGGCGATCCCAGTCAGAGGAAGAAGAACCACATTACAGCTGGTGCCAGAGGAGATATTTCTAGTTGGTGCTGGAAAACACATCTCCCAGTGCCAGCCCAGCCTGTCCTACTGGGGATCCTCTTGGCTAATGGTCGCTGGGCTGTTTCATCTGAAAATGGGGTAGCAATCCCCTCCTCCTCTGGTCCAAGGAGGCTTCGCTGGGATGATGCAGCATCTCAACATGGCACTTGGCTCTGTAGTTGGCGGTGATTAACACACAGTGTTGACCGATGAGAGGGAACAACGGCAGGACAAATGCTGGAGACATCCCCGTGTCCAGGGATTGTTTGTCAGGAGACAACAGACATGTGCTGGAAGGTGATGGCATGACTTGGTTTCTATAGAAACTTGGGTGCAAGGTGTCCTTCTTGGCCTTCCCACTCTTTAATTAGCATCCTCTCACTCTGAGCTAGGAGATATGTGGGCCAAGTAAACACCCTCGTTGAGAGTAGAGACCTGAGTTCAAAGAAAGGCAGGTTGGAACAGTAGTGTGAAGTTTTAAAGCTGCTTCTATATTCCCAAGGAGTTCTCATGGTGTAGTGGATTAAGTGTTGGGCTGCTAACTGCAAGGTCATCGGTTCAAACCCAGCAGTCACTCTGAGGGAGAAAGATGAGGCTGTCTGCTCCCATAAAGATTTACAGTCTAGGAAATGCTAAGGAGCAGTTCTACTCCGGGCTATAGACACTATGAGTCGGAATTGCCTCGATGGCAGTGGGCGTTCTGATTTCCCAGTCTTGGACCAAAGGCATTGCCCTTCTCTTCCTGGCAGCAGCTCTGAGCTCAGACTGAACCTCAGAAGCCCTCAGAATTTTGGTCCACTCCCTGGAACAAGACAGAACCTACCAACTCAGTCCTCCACAGATGTGACAGGTTGCAGGGCACTGGTAGTAGCGATTTGGGACACAGATATTTTAATCCCAGAAAGTTGGGACCCCTGCAATTAGGGAAGAAGCATTCTGTGTCCCACTGCCAATGGGACACTTGCCTCAAATGTTAAACAAAACCATTTAAATGATCACAGCTATGTAAAAACTTACACCTAGAAAAAAGACTTTAAAGCAGGGGTGAAGAAGGTCTGGCCTGCAGGCCCACAAAACCATTTGGTCTGGCCCTGCCAAGGCAACCCCAGTTCCAGCCATCACATTGTTGTTGTTAAGTGCCGTTGAGTCAGTTCTGACTCACAGTGACCCCATATAGTTTCTGAGGATCGGCTGGTGAGTTTGAACCACCAGCCTTGTGGTTCAAACTGACTTTGCAGTCCAGCACATTATCCTGCAGCATGACACCAAAACTTCAGTCATCATGTTAAGGGTGAGTGAATGAAATGTTTCACCAAATATAGCAGGCTAGTTTTTAAGTGGATAATTTTGTATGGCCCTTGAATGATGTTATAAATATTCAAATGGCCCTTGACAAAAAGAAGGTTCCCCACCCTTGCTTTAAAGCAATGCCCTGCAGCTTGCTTGGTAGGGTTCATCTTTGAGTTGATTACTGTCTTTCACAACTTAATTCTTCCCAATATAGTGTTTTTGAAAGTTCCACAGTGATCTAATGATAACTAACATACACTAGGCACTGATCATGTGTCAGACATTGTTTTAAACACTCATGGAAACCAGAGACCAAATTCAGTGCCAAGTCGATTTCAATTCAGCGAGCCAACAGACCAAAGTAGAACTCTTCCATGGGGTTTCGATGGTTGGCTTCTTTATGGAAGCCCTTGGAGAAGTTGGTGAGTTCAAACAACTGACATTTTGGTTAGCAGACAAGAGTGAAGAAAATACTGATGATTGATGCCAGGTGAAGGAAATACTGATGGTTGATACTTGGATAAAGGAAGTACAGGTAATTTGACCCTATTTTTCAGATGAGCAAGCTGAGGCTCGGTTGGTTATGTGCCGTGGAGTCGATTCTGACTCAGTGACCCTGTATAGGGTTTCCAAGGCTGTAAATCTCTACAGGAGCAGAAAGCCTCATCTTTCTCCCGCAGAACAGTTGGTAGTTTTGAACTGCTGACCTAGAGGTTAGCAGCCCAACTCATAACCACTTCGCTACCAGAGCTCCTTAAACTGAGAGGCTTAAAGGTGTTAAATAATCAGTGTCTGATCTCACAGCAGCAGGTCTGGAATTTGAACACAGATGGGCCTGAATTAAAAGCCATAAAATGAGCTAATCTCGACTGTCACTTTTATAATAGTGATAGGGGGACAGGAGACTTTGTTTTGTCAGTAAATGAACATTAAAAAAAAAAAACTAAACTTTTTTTTTTTAAAGAAGATGGATGGATAAATGAATGTTTGGATGATGAATTGATCAATAGATCAATCAATCTCCACTGAACTCTCAGGCTGCCCAGAGCACACTGTGTGTGTGAGTGTGTGAGGTTATAGCACTTTGTAATAAACATTTAAGAAGCTAGAAAATGTAGTCTGTCTCAGAGAGTGTACCATAACCTCACAAATGACAGCAAGGTCATGTTTGTT